GCACAATCCAGGAAGGACCCCAAACATATCTCCCAGGTCATCCATGGCCAAGATGCACGAGGGGACAAGGACCAATGCACTAATGTATAAGAAATCCTGCTAGCTAACTAGCTCAGCTCATACACAAAGGCCTCAGTAAGGCCTGCCAGGGTGTCAGAGGCCCTGGCCTGGCCTAGCTGGGTAGGAAGCAGCACTGGTCCTAATGTTGGGAGCTTCCATGTCTCTGACCAGAGCTGCTCAAGACTCAGTTCACTGCACCTGCTGCTCTTAGGGAGGTGTGATTCTGGACTCTGACTGGAATGAGCTCCCCTCCCCTCCAGCATCTCTGTCTGCTTTAATGAAGCTTTCCTCCAGTCTCCCCAAGTGTCTTATGCTTTGGTTTGCCTTCTCTGCAGCCTTCAGTAGCGTGCACATCCATCAGCATCAGATTTCGATCTGGTTATGGGGTGGAATAGTTAGCAGCTGTTGCAAAGAATGAAATAGCTGTTGAGCCGGGCGCTGGTGGCTCACGCCTGTAATCCTAGCTACTTAGGAGGCTGAGATCTGAGAATCGCAGTTCAAAGCCAGCCCGGGCAGAAAAGACCGTGAGACTCCTATCTCCAATAAACCACTAGAAAGTGGCGCTGTAGCTCAAGTGGTAGAGCGCTCGCCTTGAGCTGAAGAGCTGAGGGACAGCACCCAGGCCCAGAGTTCAAGCCCCATGACCGACAAAAAAAAAAAAAAAAGAAATAGCTGTTGATCTATTGGTATGAAATACATTTGATACCAATAGCTTTTGAACAGCATGTTTTGAGCTGGGCACTGGTGGTGCTAAATAAACATGTTTAGTGCTAGTTCCTCATGAGACTGAGATGTGAGGTTCAATGTCAGCACAGGAAGACAAATCATAGAACTCTGGGAGATGCTCAGACAATTCAAGATACTCACATGCTAGCACATGGGTATAGACAGTGTTCTCCTGTGCAGACAGATGAGGCAGAATGGGAGGCAGTCTCCTTGTCTGCGTTATACAGTTCTGACATGGGATGAACTGGGGTCAGGCAGCCCCTCCCCACTCCATGTTCATTGGCACCTTTGTCAGAACGTGTCTGCTCTTCTGAACCATTTAGTCCAACTGGAGGGGCACATTGAACAGATGAAGAAATTTAGGGCCAGAACGGGAAATACCTTATCAGCATCACAAGGCTAGAGGCAAAGCAGATCTGATTTTTCCAGCTGCTTCTTGGGAGCTCCATGGAGCAGGGGTTAAATGTATTTTGTCCCCAGAATCCCGAGGCTCCTCCTTGGGCTAATGGAGCTGGAAGAGGATGGACAGAGGAGTTGTGGCTCAGTGCCCAGGTTGAAAAGGGCTGGCAAATAGGAAAAACTGCCTGCACATCTAACTGTCAGAGAACTGTCTCCCTCATGAGGCTATGGACTTGATAGAAGAGGAACCCTGACTGGGTCACCTTGGTGTTCCCAGCACCTAGCCAGAGCTTGATAGGTACCTGAAGGACTGATTAGATTAGTGCCCAGCACTGTTCTGCATGCTGGGTTACAGCAGTAAAGGTGATAGGCAGACACAGAGTGTGGAGATGGTGTCATTGGACACCAGTGCTGAGGGGAGGGGACGCACATTGTGGGCAGGGAAGGAAGAGCTGGGCTTGGACGCAGGGCAGTGTGAAAAGCTCCTTTGAGGGAGGGAGCTGAGGAAATGGGCTGTGAGGACAATGTAGTGTGGCTCCCAGGGGCAGGGCTGCCCAGCAGGAAGGCAGTAGGATGGCCAATATGGGATACAGATCTAGAGAGGTTTGAGTCTCCTCTGGGAACAGGGTGTGTGACATCAAGTCTGCAGAGTGGACACAGATTCCAGAGGGACAAGGGCAGATGGGAGGAGAGTACATCTGAGCAAGGCCTCCTAGGTGCAAGGACTGAGTCCCCAGGGCCTGTGGTGAGGGCCCTCCCAGGCCTGCTGATCTCCCTACGGGAGACACTCTTCACAGACAGGGTTAGGGTAGCCCAGGGGGAATGTGATGTGTGTCAAGAACTTTGGAGGACACTGAGCTGGGAGAGGCAGCCCTCAGCATCAGGAGGAATGCTTCATGGCCTCTGGTGCTAGAGACAGGCAGATGTGGGGAAAGCAGATGCTCAGGACAGGGAGCTATAGAGCCATAGAGAAGGGTGTGTGGAGAGGGTGCTGAGGATGGGGGCTGCTAGGATAGGACCAGGAGGGCTAAAGCACAGAGGAGCTATGAGGAAGGGAGGAGGGACAGAGGGACAGGCTAAGAGCTTCTTTCTCCCCAGGAAGTTCTGGAGACTCTCTGGGAGCAGTGGCAGTGCCCAGCTGTACCAGCAGAGGAAACCCAGTGGCCAGAGTGAGGCCCTGCAGCCTGCAGCCTGACAGGCAGGCAGGGCAGGGCCCACCTCAGCCTGGGCAGCACCTGCTCCAGCCTTCCCACCAAAGCCCACAGGGAGGTGGTAAGAGCATGGTGGTAAGAGAGGCAAAGCACACAGGAAAGGCAGGTTAGGTGTGGGGGGAGCCCAGTCAGAGGGCAGTGTGTCCCAGCAGCCTTCCTGGAGGAGGCAGCTCAACATTGTGGTCCAGCTGTAACAGGCAGCACATCCACAGAGCACAGCTGGGTCCACTTGGAGATGCTGGGATTGGGGGTGCAGGGTCGATTTTAATTTTAATATTTCAGACCAAGACAAGACAGGGCACTTCCCGAGGGTAGAGGGATTCTGGAAGCTTCTAATCAGAAGAGAGGCTTGACTAGCTTTCTGCTATACATACTCATTCACACTCATGCATGAACTTCTCTAAGCTCAACACAGTTTGGGGGCCTCTCCCTGTTCCTGTCCTCCTGTTCTTGTCCCAGAAGCTCCTTGCAGGCACCTGTGAGGAGAAGATGGAGCCAGGGTCTTCACTCCCCATTTCCTGCTCACCTCTGAGCCTGTCCAAAAGTAAAGTGACCACAACAACCACTGCACGAGTCACAGACACTAGGTTGCATCAGCGAGCAAGGTAGATAGGGTCTCCTCTCCAGGTAGCCCCTACTCTTGAGGAGAGAACTGGTTTATAAACCAGTGCAGCAATGGTGCTCACTAGATACTATGTTGACATGAACTATGCACTTTGTGAGTGGGATGGGAGGGAAAAGTGAGAGAGGAGGGAAGGGTGACAATGTACAAACGAAATTTAGTTTCAGACAGCAAGGTCACTTCCTCCAGGCAGGCCTTCCGGACACTTCCTCAAGACTTAGACATGGTTGTGTTCCCCTCCCGCCATCTTCACTCCCTTCCATGCGGCTGTGGACAGGGTGGTTTCAGATCCCTAAAGAGGCTTCTGTGCTAAGGAAAAGTGACAGCTAGATGATGAGGGACATTTGTAGAGGGCTGCGGAGTCAGCAGAAAGGCCTTGGAACCTGTGTATGTATGTGTGTGTCTGTATCTATGTGTGTGTGTGGGTGTGTGTGTGTGTCTATGTGTGTGTGCGTGTGTGTGTGCATGTGTGTGTGTGTGCATGCGTGTGTGTCTATGTCTGTGTGTGTGCGTGTGTCTCTGTGTGTGTGTGCATGTGTGTGTGTGCACGTGTGTGTGTGTGACTGTCTGTGTGTCTGTATCTATGTGTGTGTGTGCATGTGTGTGTGTGTGTCTATGTCTGTGTGTGCGTGTGTCTCTGTGAGTGTGCATGCGTGCATGCGTGTGTGTGTGCATGTGTGTGTGTGTGTCTGTCTGTTTGTCTGTGTGTCTGTATCTATGTGTGTATGTGTGTGTGTGTGTGCGCGCGCATGCTGTGGCATGACTTTTCACTTAAGGCTGTGCTCTACCTCGTGAGCTACATGTCTACTTCCTAGAACAGTGGAAGGAACAGACATTGGATGAAATCTGCCTCTTCCCAGCCCTGCTGGCTGGGGTGATCCTTGCTGCCCATTTGCCTGCCATCCCAGGCTGCCCTTCCCTGGGTGACAGGATGCTCAGGTAGCTTATAACTAGGAACACTTTCAGCTGTGGGGCCTGTTACCTACCCCAGGGCTTCCCATTTCCAGGCCATTTGTCCCTCACTTGCTGTCATCCTAGATTGGAACTGAATTGAGCATTTTCAGGCTACCTGGCAGAGTCTCATGACAGCTGCTCAGCAGGATCCACCAAACCACACTTGGCAACTTCATGCGAGGATGCTGACCCGAGGTTAAGCTAGCTTGTCAGCTCTGGGTTTGATCCACACAGCTTCAGCTCAGCAATGATGAGGATAATGGTGACTGCGGGTCATTAGGGCTGGCTGGGCACTGTCTTCAGGCTGCACACCCAACACATATATCCTGTCTGATCTTCATAGCATGGACACCTTATACGAATCCATCTTCCATCCTTCCTTCCTTCCTTCCTTCCTTCTTTCCTTCCTTCCTTCCTTCCTTTCTTTCTTTCGTTCTTCTTTCCTTCCTTCCTTCCTTCTTTCCTTCCTTCCTTTCTTTCCTTCCTTCCTTCCTTCCTTCCTTTCCTTCCTTCCTTCTTTCTTTTTTTTTGCTGGATCTGGGGCTTGAACTCTGGTCCTGGGCATTGTCCCTGAGTTTTATTTTTATTCAAGGCTAGCATTCTACCACTTGAGCCACAACTCCACTTCTGTTTTTTCCCCAAATAGTTTATTGGAGATAAGAGTCCCATGGACTTTCTTGCCCAGGCTGGCTTTGAAACATGATCTCAGGTCTCAGCCTCCTGAGTTTCTACCAGTACCACTAGTGCCCGGGTCACATTTTCTTCCTTCCTTCCTTCCTTCCTTCCTTCCTTTGTTTATTCATGCCATCATACCATCACCCACTCTCAGGCCACACACTGTCATACTATCTTACTATCATACTGTCACACTACACACTGTCATACTATATATCACCACAGTGTATACCAACACACCACTGTACCATCACACCATACAATGTCACACTGCATACTCTAACATCACACACCATCACACCATAAACCTTTATAATATCACACCATTATACTGTCACACTGTACACATAACCATGAAACCAAGACACCACCACACCATCACACTAACACACTGTTACTCCACCACACCATCACACCATCATAACACCACACCATCACACCACCACACCATCACACCATCACACCATCACACCACCACACCATCACACCACCACACCATCACACCACCACACCATCACACAACCACACCATTACATCATCACACGACCACACCATCACACGGCCATACCATCACACCACCACACCATTACACCAGCACACCAGCACACCACCACACCTTCACACAACCATACCATCACACCACCACACCATTACACCAGCACACCACCACACCACCACACCATCACACCACCACACCATCACACCACCACACCATTACACCACCACACCATTACATCATCACACGACCACACCATCACACGGCCATACCATCACACCACCACACCATTACACCAGCACACCAGCACACCACCACACCTTCACACAACCATACCATCACACCACCACACCATTACACCAGCACACCAGCACACCACCACACCTTCACACAACCATACCATCACACCACCACACCATCACACCACCACACCATCACACCACCACACCATTACATCATCACACGACCACACCATCACACGGCCATACCATCACACCACCATACCATCACACCATTACACCATTACACCACCACACCATCACACTACCACACCATCACACCACCATACAATCACACCACCATACAATCACACCACCACACCATTACATCATCACACCACCACACAATCACACCACCATACCACCACACAATCACAACACCATACCACCACACGACCATACAAACAATCACACCACCATACAATCACACCATCATACCATCATACCACCATGCCATCACATCACCATACAATCACACCACCACACCATCACACGACCACACCATCACACTACCATACAAACAATCACACCACTATACCATCACATCATAACACCATATCATCACAGCACCACAGCCACACCATCACACCATCACACCTTACACCATCCCATTGCATATTGTCATCATATCACATACCTTTATACATCACACCTTCACACCACATAGCATCACGCTATACACTGTCAAACCACACTCCTACGCCACTACATTGTCATATCATACCATACACTGTCATAGTACATACCATAACACTGTCACAAAGTACCCTGTCACACTGAAGATGTTACATCACACAGTCATACCATTGTTCTCACACCATCGCAGGTCACACCATACACTGTCATCCTACACACTATCCCACCATCACACCACACAGTCACATCATAAAGCCATCACACCACACTCCATCACACCACACACTGTCACACATGACACCATCACAATACACACAGTCGTACCATCACACTTCACACCATACACTTCACACCACCACCACCCATACACCATCAGAGGACATACCATACACTGTCACACCACACACCATCACACTGGCATACCACTGTGGCTGTGGCTGCTGCCTCACAGGCATGCTGCCCTGAGAGCATGGGTGTTTCACAGAAAATAACTTGCAGTAAATAAAGGCGACTCTTTCCCTGTTGGCAAGGATTTCATTTCAGGCCTTGGAGCGGGCCTTCTCTGATGGGGTCACAGGTGCCCCACCTTGGCCAGCAGAGCACAGGAACAGGCTGCACCTCCCCTCACCATGACCTGGGCATGAGCAGGAACGTCCACCCTGGGTCTCATCAGTACAGAGGAGGCGCTGACCACAGCCACTGCAGAGGTAGAAATGGCCCGGGGAGAGGAAGGTGTGATCTAGGGGTCACAGGTCCTTTTGGACATATTACAGGGCATCTCCCTCCCTTGGTGGGGGCCCCATCCTCCATGCAGAGGCCCAGCCCAGGTAAAGGGCTCCACTCTGAGGCAGCCAGGGCAGAATGCTGAGTGTGCAGACCTGCTATGGGTCAGCAGCACCAGGCCCAGCTCAGGGCTGGCTGCCCAGGGCTTTGCCCAGTCCACAGGAAGCAGGGGCACTGGAAGGCCATGGACAGTGACAGTAAGACCTGCACCAGCTGCTCAGGCTCTTTGACCCCTCAATGACCCCAAGCATACGTGGTCTCAGGGAAGCTGTGATGTTGTCCTGAAGCCTTCTTGCCTGGCTTTGGGATGTCTGCAGGCCATTGAGTAATGTTAACATTCAGTCAGGTTCTGATGGCTCATAAATGTGATCCTAACTACTCAGAAGGCTGAGATCTGAGGGTCAAGGTTCAAAGCCAGCCTGAAAAGACATTTCTATGTGACACTTATCTCCAATTAACCAGAAAACTATTGATGTGGAGATGTGGCTCAAGTAGAAGCTATGAATGAAAAAGCCAAGTGAGGGCTGGGAAGGTGGCTCAGTGGTAGAGCGCTTGCCTTGCATGCATGAGGCCCTGGGTTCGATTCCTCAGCACCACATAAGCAAAAAGAAAGAAAAAAGCCGGAAGTGGCGCTGTGGCTCAAGTGGTAGAGCACCAGCCTTGACCTGAAGAGCTGAGGGACAGCGCCCAGGCCCAGAGTTCAGGCCCTACTACTGGACCCCCCCCCCCCCAAAAAAAAAGCCAAGTGAGAGCACAAGGTTCTGAGTTCAATCTTGTTACCAGCAAAAAAATAAAAAGGAAGGAAGAAAGGAAGGAAAGAGGAAAGTAAGGAGAAAGCAAAAAGAAAGAAAGAAGAAAACAAAGGAAGGAACAAAAGAAAGAAAGAAAGAGAGAGAAAGTAAGAAAGAGAGAACGAAATAGAGAGATGAGAGAAGGAAGGAGGGAGGAAAGGAAGGAAGGAAAGAAAGGAAAAAAGGAGAAGGAGGGAGGGAGGAAAGGAGAGAGGGAGGAAAACAGACAGGAAGGAAGGAAGGAGGGAAAGGAAGAAAGAAGGAAGAAAATATGAGACAAGACCTGTGTCTATAATCCTAGCAACTCAGGAGGCTGAGGTATGAGGATCATGGTTCAAAGCCAGCCCGTGCAGGAAAGTCTGTGAGACTTTTATCTCTAATTAACCACCAGAAAACTGCAAGTGGAGCTGTGGTTCAAAGTGGTAGAACTCTACATTGAGCAGAAAATTCAGGCAAAGGGCCCAGGCCCTGAATTCAAGCACTGCAAAAGACCAAAGAAAAATGAAAGGTGAATGCGGAGAGTCAAGGGGCTGTGAGTATAAAATTTGGGAACTCAAGGGGGTGGCATTGTCTGAGGGGTCTGGTGTGTTCTACACAAGTTCAGGGGCCACCTACACTAGGACTCTGGAACTCTGGAGACTGAGGTAAGTAAGGCTGAGGTGGCACCCTAGAGCAAGAGGCAGGAGGCAAGCCACAGTGAGAAACGGGCCTGTCCCCAGGGGAACTCAAGAAGTGAGGACTCCCTTATTCGAGGAAGCTGGGATACCAGAAATGCCTGGAGAGTGATCTCTGCCACTACTGGAAAAATGACATCTTGATAGAGAAGGGCAGCTAGGCCAGGGCATGGACAGCAGAATAAGGATAGAATGTTGTAGAATGAGTGTGTGTGTGTGGATTGGGGAGCGGGTTGTCCAAGGATGAAGTCGAGAGTCTGCAGAGGTCAGTCATGCATCCCAGTAGAGGATCATGGGAGCCCCAGAAGGGACAGGACCAGGAGGAAATGCAGTCAGCTCTGAGTGGGATGGATCACACCACCCACCACAGGATTGAAACGGATTAAGAGGGACCCTGTGAGGCCTTCATGAGGGACCAGGCCCTGATAGCACCACAGAGGGGACCCATCACAGGCCATCTTCAAGGAGACTAGAAAGGGTTTCTGAGAATTCAGCTGCTGAAAAATCTCAGAAAATCTCATTGGACCTTCAAGAGTGTGGAGGAAGAAGCTAACAACTGGAAGAGCAATGGTCCCCGAAGAGTCGAAGTCCCCCCAGCCCCGCCCCATGGAATCCTTTACAGTTCACAGAATTCTCCAGCCCATCATCTGTCTCCTTTGACCCTCCATCCATTCCCACTTGGCACATTGGGAAACTGAGGCTCTGTCAGGTCACTTAGGGTTAGCAGAGCTACCAGGCTGGAAATGGGGGAGCAGGATCACTGTAGCCCCATGTGTCAGGCTCAGAGCCACACTCCTTGTCAAAATGGGGGTTCTCCAGGCTGTCTGGCGGCCCATAGTACAAGTCTTCCTCTTGCTCCTCAGGCTCTAAGGGCATCCTTCTTCTCCTTTGTCCTCAGAGATGGCTGCTAGATTTGGAGTCAGGCTACATCCTGAACCTGCTTCTCTGGGACTGTGTCATCCAAGGTGGGGGTGTCATCGATTAGGGCAAAGTCATGGAAGCAGTACAGTAAGCCCATGTGGGCCTAGGACCACTGTGGCCCAGGGCACGGCTCCTCATCCTCATCCTTCATCAGCTGGAGATGAAGGAACTCTGCTGACTTCTCTGAAGTCAATGTCTAGGACATCTTTGAAGGAGGCCAAGGCTGCAGGGGCCAAGGGACAGGCCGGGGGGCTACAAAGGCAAAAAACAAGGAGGTCAAGAGCCCTGAGTCAGATTGCCTGGGTCCTGATTACAGCCACTAGCTGCAAGGCCTGAGGAGAGAAAATTCACATCTCCAAGACACAGTTCCCTTCCCCGGAAGGTGAGGAAAAATAAGTATATGCACTGCTGAGCCTGTTTCTGAGAGTCATAGCTGATAACAATGTGCAAAGCACATTGCACAATGCCCGGCATGTGGTAGGTGCTCACAACAGAGCTGTTAGATTACTGTGCACACTATACCTCCAGTCATCCATATCTCCAGCCATCCACCTTCTCTGGTCCCTCACAACACTTGTCACCCCAAAATCCCTCTGTAATCTCCTCTGTTTGCCTCCACAAGACTAGAGTCCCCAAAGCTTGGAGGCCAGGCGAGACTATAAGGGTTCTAACAGTGGAATGAGCAAACAAGTGGATGAGTCAGGAGCTCAGTCACAAGCAAGCAGACACAGGCGTGCAGGGGGACAGCCTGGCCTGTGGTCACTGGGAGGTTGACAGCAGTGGACTCACGTCCTCTGCTTCCTTGTCCTCAGCACTCATGACAAACATCCAGAGAAAGCAAGAACCTACTGTGTGCCAGGCATCAGACATGTATTGCCCCAAGCTTCACAACACAGCTGGGTATGTGGGAATGACTATTCTGCTGGGGAAACTGAGGCTCCAGAGAGTAAGAGAATTGCCAAGTTGACACAGCCAAAGAGCTGGTTTTGCAGCCAGGCCCCTCTGACCCATGAGTATGCTCATGTGTTTGCTGCTGCCTTCATGTCTCACATCCCCTGCTGCCTGCTCCTCACTCCCAAGTGCCTCTGACCCTCGGTGACCCAACAGGCCTCCCCTCCTTTGCACACTCACCTACCTTGAGTTTGAGTTCCTTCCGTTCCTTCTTGTCCAAACTCCTGTGGACAGCCATGGCAGCCTCCATTCAGCTCTGAGCATCGTGAGGGCCACACTCTCCTCCACCCCTGACTCCCAACTTCAGCTCAGGGGTCAGCAACGGGCGGGGTCTTCTCTGTAGCCCATGACCTTCATCTGGATGTGACCGAAGTTGGGTAGGCACTGGTCATAGGTTGCTTCCTCCCACAGCCCGACTTAGTGGGATGGGGGCAGAGGGCCAGGCTGGGCGGGTGGGGGTGGGGGGAGGACGGGAAAGAGGAGAGAAGAGAAGGGAATAGAAGAGAAGGGAAGGGAAGGGAAGAGAAGGGACAAGAGGGGAGGAGAGGGGAGGAGGGGGAGGAGAGGGGAGGAGAGGAGGGGAGAGGAGGGGAGGGGAGAGGAGGGGAGGGGAGTGGAGGGGAGGGAAGGGGAGGGGAAGAGAAGAGAGGAGAGGAGGGGAGAGGAGGGGAGGGGAGAGGAGGGGAGGGGAGTGGAGGGGAGGGAAGGGGAGGGGAAGAGAGGAGAGGAGAGGAGAGGAGGGGAGAGGAGGGGAGGGGAGGGGAGGGGAGGGGAGGGAAGGGAAGGCAAGGCAAG